AAAAGGAAAGGTGAGAAACCTCAATCAAACCCATTCTTCAACCTGGGCAACCAGAAAGTGCCATTCACCATTACATTTCTTCATTCACTGACCCCTCCTCACAAGTACCTCACCCAAGTCTTTCTGATTTATTTTTACCGTTGGACTGTGTCCAGTGAAATGGACCAAAATAAACCCTTACTAAATCCAATGGATCTGTTTCACATCAAAGCTTTCAACGTGTGTACTGCGTCAAACTGGACAACATACTTTGTGACAGCGTTTTCCAACCTGACATTTGTGGCACCGGTCTTATATCAAATTGGCTGCAAAAGGTCAAGTGTGCAGTGCCACGGTCCGATCGGCCTTGCTTTATGGATCAGAGGCACGGGTTTGGTAGGAACAACAGACCACTAGTGATGGAGTACGTTAGCTGGTTTGCTGAAATGGTATTTCTCCGTCTCCCCCTCTCTATAGATCAACTGGTTATATTGCATAGTTCACACCTGTTAGGCCAGCCACCTCGGATACCAGAGGGCTGCTTGCCCGCAGAGCCCCCTTCACCTAGTGTTGCATAGCATGACCCAGGGTGGTCAGTGTATGACTTAGCAACGAAGCATGAAAGCAATCGCGTTCGTAACTGCTGTCTGCTCAGGTTGGGGACCGCAAAAAGACAAACCAATGGTTATTGACCCTGACAGATATGAGCATGTCACGCGGCTAATGGTGGTCGCCTTCACTGCGTAGCTTTAACTTCCTGCCATACTGGACAGCTGAACAGAAGAGACGTATTTCGCTTCAAACAAATGTGAGAACCTGCAGAGTGAGAGATACATCGTATTTCCTCGTCAGTCCCATCTCCAACAACTAGGAAAAAGCAAGTTTCATAGCAATTATCAGCCATCTGCAAATCCCGCAACCAAATAATAATAATAATAATAATAATAATAATAATAATAAAGTCTTTCAGCTACCACACCCTTTTGATGCCTATCTGCCATGCCACCCGAAGGAAGCACGAGGGCTGGGATACTGCCAGGTTGACCAAGCCTAGACAGGAGAAGCCGAGATGCAGAGGTCAGGTTCAAACTACGGGCCTTCCGGTCGATAAATTCGCGCTCTGACCACTGAGCCACCTCGCCCCGCCGCAAACACCTACAAAACAAAGTTGACCACGTGACTACGGATCAGAAAGGTCAGTCGACCAGACAAAAAGTGGTCCACTGCGTCACTAAGAGTAAAATCAACTTGCTTCTGAACACAATGAAGGCTCTGATCGATTCAGTGAAGTGGTCTCGTCAAACCTCAGGACATATGCATTTTAATGGTAGAGACGGGTAGTAAATAATGTGAGATAAACTTACTGGCCTAACCGTAGGGGACAATGGTGTTGTCTACCCTAGAGTCGATGTGGAATTTTGGAAAAGAAAATCCGGGACCCAAGGATAAAAATGATAAATGATTAATATGGGTACGAGCGGTACGGTTGTTTTTGGTGCAGAATTCTGCCTAACAGTAGAGAGGCAACTCACGGAGTGACCATCGAAAATGGCCAACTGTTGCTTACACGTAGATGATACTCTGGTGATGGGTAGAGACATGGAACATATTTGTCGGCTCATTAGCGTATGAACGTTGTTCACTCAACACGAGGGAGCCAGTTCTTCGTGCCATTTATAAGAATCCGATTAGCACATAGAGCAGACTGATCCCCAGTTTTATTCCATACAAGCATCGTTTACAAGAGCGTGTCAGGTATCTACACTAGGATACGTTGTCGATGAGTGGGAAGACTTTGGAGCAAAACAGGTATCATCCGTATTTCACTTGGACTTATACTGCATCTAAGGAACCGGCCTACAGAGGGAACTCGTTGGCACTGAGGCGGATAAACATTGTGGCGGAGGGGTTATCAATACCCTCAGTTAAGGGATACCAACCTATTGGGACCAAATCACACTCTATACACCAAGTTATAGCTGACTGCGGAGCAGGACCGATAAGTTTCGTCAATGAAAACCTACCCTATGTATTCCGATGTAACTCTCAAGCTGCAATGCACTTGTTGCCACATTTTTGTCTGATTGACTGACCAATGCAATCCGTAGTCACGTGATTAACGTTATTTTGGTAGGTGCTACAAAACTCACTTTGTCAAGTATTGTCGGTTTATCACCTATGGCGGGTTGGAAGCGTCGACAGAAACGGCACCAAAAATTGCGTAGCACGACAGGCCTATTCCAGAATCATTGCAAATAGTGCTTGATTACGTATCAGATGTTCTGTTTTCATGTTACGACATGAATGATTGCTGCCGTTCAGACGGCCAGTTAACTGTTTAGCAGATCGAAAAATCTGCATAAATTTGTATCAGCTAAGATTGTTTGTCAACCTGGGGATTCATCGCGGAGACGCTGATAGAGAGAGCGTTCAGCTGTAGCACCCTCCCGGTGCCTAGCTGCCATGCCACCCGAAGGGAGCACGAGGGCTGGGATACTGCCAGGTTGCCCAAGCCTAGACAGGGGAAGTCGAGTGGCGGAGATCGGATTCGAACCGCGGACCTTCAGGTTAGTTATCCGCGCTCTAACCGCTTCGGCCAAAATGACTTCTTCTTCACGAAGTAGATGATACCTTAGACCTTGTCGCAAAAACTGATCGGTCATTGAACAACATTTTCGACGACACGAAACTCAACAGTGGAGGAAAAATCGGCACTGATGGACAAACTCAGCACTAGACTGCCAAACGGATGCCTACAAACCGAGGTATAAAGGGGAACGACTCACTCACACGGAATAGAATCTTAGCGACCATAGTAGATACTCAAGCTGTCACAAACAAAGTTGCATCCGGACACTGTTCAAGCGGATCGAGACGCAATGTAATATCGCGCAACCCCACAATCAAAGAGAGAGAACGTCATCACAAGGTCATTCAACAAAACGACTATCTGAGAAATTTTAACTGGATGTCTTGTACGAATATCTTCCTTGGATAAGTGCAACTCGACCAACTGGATAATACAGGAAGAACGCAAAAAATCCCACTTACATATATCAAGTAATTGCTAAAGTGTTGCGATAGCATATAATAGCTATAGCCTACAGACCCACAAACCCAGTTCGGAAAACACTATTTAAACGAAAGGGACAACTATAGACAAGTTTAAACAAACACTACACGGAACAAGAAGGATGGAAGCCATCCACAAAGAAGCATAAATACCAACACAACATGATCAACCGTAACTCATCTACATACACGAAGATCAAGAAAGACACAAATTCAAATAAAGCCCGGCGATATATGCTAGCCCAGAGAAGAACAAACAAGGAAAACTCATGGGGGCGACAAATGAGAAGTCGCCAACCCATTAGATCCGAACTAATCTACCAACCTATTAAAACGGAAGAAACCTATCAAACTCAGAAATGCACAAGACACCGGATTAACCAGTAGAAGTTATTAGGGGAGTGAGAAACTCAACAGATGAAATCAAGATCACCAGTATCAATAACCAAGCAGAACGGGGATCAGAAGGTTAAACAGCAAAAAACGAAAAAATGTGTTGAGCAGTACAGCGTCTTCTGAACTGGCCAAGTTCAGAAAAACAGACTAAAAAGCAACAGGAATCACGAATAGACTAATCATATAAAAATATCACAAACCAAAACTATCCACTTGATCAGTCAAATGGTAAGAAGAGAGTCGATTGAGACACAAGACAAAGGAAAGGCGAACAGACCGACTGGGACGAAGGAATACAGTATTGAAATGACGATTTTCAAGGAACCGATCAAGTGAGTCTGACCGCAACGGGACACATCGAAACCAAACTTTAAACGACCAATCAGCTTAGAAACATCAAATGCTCTTTTCAAAATTACACAAACTCAAAAAACCCTAACAGCGTACTTCCCAAATTATAGTGAAGGAACGATTGTGTGCCGATTGCCAAGCTTAGCGAAAAGACCAACCGCTAGTTGATCAACAGCGGGCATGTCAATGTTTTAAGGACTACAAACGCAAGAATATAGTGGCGTCATCCACACAGATAAAAGAAGACAGTTGTTTGAATTTTACAATCTCCGTCGAAGAGACACTCTCCTGAAACAGTTCCTAGTTTGCTTCGCAACAAGAACCAAGAAATCCCAGTAACTCATGCTGACTGGTCGATGGTCGTTCTGGAAGACTGATGCTATGTTCAGTGTTTGAACCGAGTCAGTGAGCTCTCCTCGACTTTACGCGACTGGTAATATGGCTTAGTACCAATTACTGGAAAACACCACAATTGCAATACGGATTGAGGATAAAATTGCAACATCTCGCCAAACCGCGCACGATAGCTCAGTACCGATACAGTTTTCGAACACCCCCATCGTCAGTTGTAAACCGTGTACATGTTGTACAGTGGTTACAGCTGCGGATTAGAGGAAGAAGCTAACAATGTTGATGTGTGAATGCAGGAGTGACAGTGGGCACTTAACTAGATATATCAGGAAGGGAGGCCGTGCACTGAAGGTAATGGCTTGGATGATCACTGTTTTTCGGTCATGATTAATTACTATTTCTAATTTTTATTCGGAAAAGCGCCCATTCGCAATAGAGAGTGGGGACCATCACACAGGTTCATGACGCTCCGCTAGTTGCAGTCCCGAGGCCGAAGTATTGAATTTCTGGAACCAACTGTTTGGAGAAGGAAAGCACTCCACTGTCCAAGTCCAAAAGCTGTCGGAAACAAAGAGATAGAACCAGAATTTCACTAACCCTCCTATGTAAAAAGACCCCCGTCGATGTAACAATACTTCGAAATCCTACGGCGATTTTGAGGGAAAAGTATTGTGCATACAATGAGAAGGCTCAAAAATGTGGAAAAAAAACAAAAGGTGACTCCATACACTACTCACAAAGTTGCTAAAAATTCTTCGACAACCCACGACCGGTTCCGCTTTTCTTGAGGTCATCAGGTAGGCTCACTAACTGAGTTTTCGTCAATCTCATGTTCTTCTTGAACCCATATTTCACGAAATTATCGAAATAAAAACAAATTTGGTTTGGTGAGAGACTCTACTGGAAGCTGCTTAAAAACATCATAAACGAGGAATTCAACTGAGTTTCAGGTGAGTCTCCCGCAAAACCAAATTTGTTTGCAAATGAGTGCATTTCGCTAAAGTGGGACTTGGTTACGTTAGAATGACGATAAATAGAATACTTACTTTCACGGCTATTGGAAGGTCGAATAATATCTGGTCGGTCCACGTCTTCAGACAAAGAGGAAAGAACTTCGGCGGTAAATGCTGCTGGTAATTTTGGTGGTGTTTTGAAGGACGATGATTGAAATTGCAATTGGACATGACCATTTGAGGAAGGTGAACTGTTGCACTTCGCTTGTGCTTTCTTTGATTTTTTGCGTGACGAAGGATGAGGGGAAGATCCTACCATGAGGGACTCCATAAAAGAAAGACCACTACTGGAATCAAGTGACTCCACGGAACCTGAGAACTTTCGTTTAACTCCACTTTTCACGGCTTGCTTTGAAGGGGTGTGAAGTGGAGGAGAGGGTGATCTGTTAGTTTTGAAAGACTGCGTTGGGATTGAGGGAGAGGAGGTGGAGACGCCCAGTGGTTTACATTCGGCTACAGGCGAGTTAATGTCAGTGTTGG